AAATAAAGTGTCAAAAAGAACCTGGCTAATTTTTCATTAGTTTTTAAAGCCTAAAACATTTGTAACTTAAAATTACATGATAATTTTCTACCCATTTTGATTTTAACTTCAGAATATTTATTTTACTTTTTAACTTACTCATAATTTCAAGTCTAATAGACTCACACACACAAGAAAACAATAAATCTTCAAGAACTCTTGCCTTTTGTTCAAGTGTCCACACCCCGGCAGCAGGGGGCAGCAGAGGCTCTGTGAGTGTGTGGAACTTCAATCACTATGGCAAGCATTCAACCAAGTGGTCTGACTTCAGAATTCCACTGCCTTAAAAATAGATGCGCTATTTTTCTCTCCTGCTGACATAGACATCCATGTGTCTTTACGGGAATTTTGGCTCCAGGTTCTTTGCAAATCTAAAATAGACCGATTTTAACACTTGGCACAAATGATGCCACAATGTCAGGGCAGAGAGCTTTAATTTAATAATGCTCATTTTGATACTGTATACCAAAAAACCCAAAGCCCAACAGTCAAGAATATATACTTCATCTGAAAAGATGGCCTCGGTTTGAAACAGACGTCAAGTAGCCAGAAAACCAAACTGCCCTCTCTCTGTCAGAATAAAGAGAAACACTGCCGTACAAAGCCTAAACGTTCAAGAGCAGTCATATAATTAATGATCTGGCCTGCAATTATAAGATGTGCAAATAGGATCTGAATACTTTAGGAAACGCACACTACTTCCCCTGGATAACTATTTCTGGCTAAATTCACCCACAGGGATGAGTGGCTACTTTAACAACGCTCCTAAGTAACCAAATGTTGGGAGGACACAACATAAAAAAGCAGGAGTCGGAAACTTTTCTCACTGGAATTACAATTTAAACAAAAAGCAAATCATGCTATTTTGCGACAAACTCAATACCGAATGCTTCCAGTTTTAAAACGACATCACCGTTTGGTGGTGCTGTGTGCCAGTCACTGCCCTCTGCAGCCGAACACTCAGAACATCAATGTGCGTCACAGGAACAAGTCAACTGGCAAAGGCCGTCTTCTCTAGATACACTTTATAATGTTACTAGGGCCCGGTGCACGGAAATTCATGCACTGGGGGGCCGGGGGGGGGATCCCCTCAGCCCTGCCTGCCCCCTCACAGTCCAGGAGCCCTCAGGAGAGGCAACTAGGCCGATCAGGGGAAGGTGCCGCCCCCATCACCCTGCCGCTGCTGCCACTGCCAGCTGCTACAGCTGCCTGCCCTTGGCCCTCGCAGCCGCAATGGCTTTGTCTGAAGGACGTTCGGCTGTCTGGTCTAATTAGCATATTATGCTTTTTTATTATAGACTGTTTTAAATGAATACACTCTGCAGTTTGGGGGAGGAAACCTTAGAGAAAGTAAACAGGCGTATGTACAAACTTCTAATAAAACTGTTTTCATTTACTGATTCTAGGACTTGACACTATTCAGGGTAGTCTATTTCACTCAACAGACTTTTTTGTAGTAAGAAATTCAGGGAACTAACGGATATTTTGAGCACAGGCTAATTTGTCATTCCCAGGATCCAGATTCTCAGCTTGAACTAAGGCTGACTTCTACCCTCAACTGAGACTGAGCTAAGGATTGCTAACTCCAAAGCTGGTGGCACAAGTTTTCTGAAAAACCTAATAGTCCCTTTGAGACTTGTTGTGTGTCGTCTGCAATATCTGAAGATACAGGATTTCAGCAGACACCCTCGGCTCCTGGAGGAAGATAGCACTGAGTGTGAGCTCCTTCCACCCCCCACTGAGCACAGCACAGGGACGGAGGCCCCGCCCTCATCTCCTGCCCAGGCCTGCCTCTCCTGGTTCCCTCCAGCTCTCCCTCCAGACACCATGCTGGCTGTCCTGGCCCCGCCCTGCTCCCCACCCTCCTCCTAGGGCATCCTTATTCCTGACTCCTGACACGAATGCCAAGCTGAGTCCTGGCCTTCATTTTCCTCCTCCAGGTGCTGCTGGGCTAATCCCAGCCAAGGTTGGACAGATGTGGTAAAGCCACGTCCCTGTTATTTACTTTTAATTCTACTGGGAAACCTTTTTATTTGAAAACTAGAGGCCCGGTGAACGTGGGATCCCTTGGCCTGGCCTGTGGAGATTGGGCTGAAACCGGCGAGGGCGCAGGCCAGGCCGAGGGACCCCACCAGTGCATGATCGGGGCTGGGGAGGGACCGCGGGAGGGCTCCAGGGTATGTCCGGCCTGTCTTGCCCAGTCCCGATTGGCCAGACTCCAGCAGCAAGCTAACCTACCAGTCGGAGCATCTGCCCCCTGGTGGTCAGTGCATGTCATAGCTACCAGTGGAACGGTTGAACGGTTGCTTGGGCTTTTATATATATAGATCACTTCAGGAAGTTCAGAAAAGTTGAAAGATTAAGCCTAGTACTAGGAATCCCTGTGCCCTTCCCCAGATTCCCTCCAGTGAACATCCCCCCTGTGGTCTGACACACGAGTGAGGCACCAAGAACACAGCCTACTTCCCAGCGCCTCACTCGGATCCTGCTTCATGTCTCACGCCCTCCAGCCTGATGGCTCTCCTGCATCACTGAGGACCACTGAGAAGCGGACATCTAACCCTGACGCTGCTCACTCTGTGACCCCAATCCCTCAGGAAGCTCCCTGGGGTCCCTGGGATGACCCCCTGCTGGGTTTCCTCAGCCTTCCCAGCTACTCCTCACACTTTCCCAACGTGGCTCCTTCTCTCAGTCCTGGCTCATCTTTCTCACCCAGCAAACCCCACTCATATGTGGAATGAATCGAATGAACAGAATAAACTGATGAAGAAAACAGATCCTTCCTCTCTTTTTCTATCTCTTTCTTCGTCTCCAGTTCTCGAGTGCTACAGCTCACATCCATGCCATGCAGCTCCCATACATGCTGACGAGTCCAAATACATCATCTTTCCTGAGATCTAGGCCTACATCCCTAACTGCCTCATAAACCCCTTCCCGAGGCCTGGGCAGGGGGCAAGACACAGGCTGGGGCATGAGCAAGGCAAAGCCAGTAAGAACCACGGGGGCCCTGATGTGCACGGAATCAGACATTTTTAAAATTGCGGGTGTCTACACTTCACTCATGCTTTATTCTGGATGACACTGTAAATCCATCTCAGTCTTTTTTTATATATTTATTTTTAAATCTTTATTGTTGAAAGTATTACATATGTCCCCTCTCCCCTCCCCACTGACCCCTTCTAGCCTGCCCCCGCCCCAGGCCTTCACCTGCCTATTGGCAGTGGCCATGGCTTATGCACATATGCATACAAGCTCTTCAGTGATCACTTCCCCACCACCCTCCCTCCCCCGCCTTCCCTGAGCTTCCGCCTCAGTCTGTTCCATGCTTCTATGTCTCTGGATTTATTTTATTCATCAGTTTATTTTGTTCATTAGATTCTATGTATAAGTAAGGTCATATGGTATTGTCTTTCTCTGACTGGCTTATTTTGCTTAGCATAATACTCTCCAGGTCAATCCATTCTGTCGCAAAAGGTAAGAGTTCCTTTTTTATGGAGTATTCTACAGTATAAATGTACCACAGCTTTTTTATCCACTCACCTATTGATGGGCACTTGGGCTATCACCTCACAATGAGGTATAACCTCACACCTGTCAGAATGGCTACATCAACAAATCTACAAATGACAAGTGCTGGCGAGGATGTGGAGAAAAGGGAAGCCTAGTGCATTGCTGGTGGGAATGCAGACTGGTGCAGCCACTCACTATGGGAAACAGTCTGGAGTTTCCTAAAAAATTAAATATGGAACTGCCATTTGACCCCAGTGATCTCACTTCTAGGAATATATCCTAAGAAACCCGAAACACCAATCAGAAAGGATATATGCACCCATATGTTCATAGCAGCACAATCTACAACAGCTAAGATCTGGACACAGTCCATGTGCCCAGCAGGAGATGAGTGAGTGTATTTTATTGATTTTAAAGAGGGGAAAGCAGAAGGAGAGAGAAATAGAAGCATTGATGAGAGAGAACAGCATCCATTGGTTGCTTCCTGCAGCCCCTCCTGGGGATTGAGCCCTCAGCGCAGGCATATGCTCTGGGAATTGCACTGTGACCTCCCGGTTCATAGGCCACGCCGCTGGGCAAGAAATAATTTTAACAGATGCAATTTATGTAGCTAAATAAAAGAGGCTCACACACCCGTTAGGATGGCAACCATCAAGGAGCCCAGACGATACGGGTGCTGGGAGGGGTGGAGAGCGGGCACCCTGTGCACTGCAGGGCTGTGGAATGTGCAGCTGCTGGGATGGTCCCTCAGGACTCAGCAGCCATGCCAGGTGCACTCTCAGGTCCCTGTCCCCCTGGCTCACAGGAGTGCTGCTCCCAACGGCCACAGGTGGAGGGGCCCGAATGTCCGACAGCAGGCGGATGGATAAACAAACGCATCAGGTCACACAATGGAAACTACCCCGCCTTGAAAAGGAGGGGAATTCCGACACAGGCACCACAGGGATGAAACCTGAAGACATTATGTGAAGTGAAATAAGCCAGTCACAAAACAGTCAGTTCGATCCCTCTTCTCTGAGGTGCCTAGACTAGTCCAGTTCAGAGACAGAAAGCAAGGTGGCTGCTGGGAGGAGCAGGGAGGGAGGGATGGGGGCAGAGCTTCAGTGTGAGAAGATGAGAGTGGAGATGGGAGAGGTGTGGGCTGCATAACAATGTGAGTGGACTTTATGCCACTGAGCTGTCACTTAAAAGTGGTTATTAGAATGGCCAAGGTCATGTGTATTTTACCACCATAAGAATTGTTTCAGCCCTGGCTGGTGTGGCTCAGTGGAGAGAGCGTTGGCCTGTGGGCTGAAGGCTCCCGGGTTCAATTCCAGTCAAGGGCACATCCCTGGGTTGTGGGCTCGATCCCCAGTAGGGGGCGTGCAGGAGGCAGCCAATCAATGATTCTCTCTCACCATTGACATTTCTCTCTCTCTCTCCCTCCCTCTCCCTTCCTCTCTGAAATCAATAAAATATATTTAAAAACATTGTTCTAAGTGGGCTACATGCCCACTCTCTCATGTTCAATGGGAAACCAGTGCCCACTCTCACGCTCTCACGGCAGCGCGCTCCTGACCGCAGGCCCCACGGCCTGTGCGATATGCTCTCGGGAGGCCAGTGCCATTCTGTCAAGACCTTGAACTGGGGTCATTGTTCAAGCTCCCCACCTCGGCCGCGGCCTCTGGCCAGCCCTTCGCTGCTTCCTGTAATGCTCGCTTACCAGACGTGATCAGATTTGTTAAATAGGCGAGACATTTACATGGGAAAGGAAGGCTATTTCCTCAATATCAGTGTTTCCTTCTGATATTATACCCTTTGATGGAAACAAAATAAGTTAGCACTTAGCCATATTCAAGTCTGCCACCTGAACAATGATCTCCACAGGCCTTCAGAAGGATAAATACTGAAAACAAACTTTAAAGTTTGTTTTTTTGGCTACTCTTTATTTTGAAAAATTAAATTCCTTCTAATCCTCTGAATTTTACCATTTCTATTGTTGGTCCCTGCAACCTCAATAGTAGTTGCTCATGGTTCCCCCAAGCCTCCCAGACACACAGGCCCCTCGACAGCACTGCAAGTTCTGTACATCCCCCCTCCCCCAACACCCTTGGCTTCTGGGCTGCTACTGGCTGCTGGCAATGCACCGGAGTGGACTGCGCCTCAGGCACTGGAGCGACCGCGCCACAGGCACTGGAGCGACCACCGGAGCGACCCACACCACAGGCACCGGAGTGACCCACACCACAGGCACCGGAGCGACCCACGCCACAGGCACCGGAGAGACCCACACCACAGGCACCGGAGAGACCGCACCACAGGCACCGGAGCGACCCACACCACAGGCACCGGAGCGACCCACACCACAGGCACCGGAGCGACCCACACCACAGGCACCGGAGCGACCCACACCACAGGCACCGGAGCGACCCACACCACAGGCACCGGAGCGACCCACACCACAGGCACCGGAGCGACCCACACCACAGGCACCGGAGCGACCCACACCACAGGCACCGGAGTGACCCACACCACAGGCACCGGAGCGACCACAGGAGTGACCCACACCACAGGCACCGGAGCGACCCACACCACAGGCACCGGAGCGACCCACACCACAGGCACCGGAGCGACCCACACCACAGGCACCGGAGCGACCCACACCACAGGCACCGGAGCGACCCACACCACAGGCACCGGAGCGACCCACACCACAGGCACCGGAGCGACCCACACCACAGGCACCGGAGCGACCCACACCACAGGCACCGGAGCGACCCACACCACAGGCACCGGAGCGACCCACACCACAGGCACCGGAGCGACCCACACCACAGGCACCGGAGCGACCCACACCACAGGCACCGGAGCGACCCACACCACAGGCACCGGAGCGACCCACACCACAGGCACCGGAGCGACCCACACCACAGGCACCGGAGCGACCCACACCACAGGCACCGGAGCGACCCACACCACAGGCACCGGAGCGACCCACACCACAGGCACCGGAGCGACCCACACCACAGGCACCGGAGCGACCCACACCACAGGCACCGGAGCGACCCACACCACAGGCACCGGAGCGACCCACACCACAGGCACCGGAGCGACCCACACCACAGGCACCGGAGCGACCCACACCACAGGCACGCACCGGAGCGACCCGCACCACAGGCACCGGAGCGACCCACGCCACAGGCACCGGAGTGACCCGCACCACAGGCACCGGAGAGACCCACGCCACAGGCCCCGGAGCGACCGCACCAGTGCCCACTGTTTCCGACTGAGCTTGTCCCGCAGCTGCTGACAGTTTCTTTGTCCCTGACCCTGTGGTGGACACCTGGTGTTGTGCCTGTGACATGGCCCTTCCCCTCTGCAATCAGGCCTGTGGCGGAGGCCTGCCTGGCCAGTGAGAGGAGTGTGGTGTGCCAATCAACTCCTGGGCGAAGCTTTAGGAACTAACACGTGATTCTCCGTGCGGGGTACCCCCACCTCCATACAGCCGTGGTCAGAGAAGCATCAGTGCCGATGGGGTACCGTCGCTGGGCCCGTGATCACCTGGGTCAGTCAGCAGGCTGACTGTCCTGCACACGGACATGAACAAGAAACAGCGCTATGACCCTGGGACCTGAGGTCCTCACCGCTGTCCAGCCGAAGACGGAACCGCCCTGAGTGACACTCCCTTCCCGTCCCTGCAAAGGCTCCCAGCACGGGCTCCGCTCACCTCCACCTCATCGCTCATCACTTCTCCTGACAGGACCGCTTTAGCTTCATCACTGTGATGAGCACAATTACAATCTATTTAAATGAAAAGTTACCTTCCAGGTGGTTTTCACTCTGCTGGGAGGCACAGTTCACACGTTCTGTATTTCGGTTGCTTGTCTTACTCTGGTCACTAGAAAACAGAACAGAACACACACGGGACATGTCAGCTACCATGAGTTACCATTTCAGTTTACTCTGAGACAGAGAAAGAAAACAACACTCGTTAAGCGATTGCAAACGCCATGTGCGGTTCTAGGTGTTAACGCACACGATTTCACTTGCCTCTCACCACGGCACTCACAGCACTTCTCACCCGCAGCTTACAGCAGACTGAGGCGAGGAAGTGAAGTTAATTTGCCCAATAAGTAAAACCCAAGGTTACGAAGCCCCGACCTCTCTACCACCCTAAGCTACTCATCCCCAGGAGCTGAAATCCCCTGCCTGACAAGAAGTTCCCCGGCTGTTAATGGAACACAAGCAGCTGATTTCTGCACATCTGGCGTTTTAGTAATGAAGGTGGTGAAGCACCATCTAATATCAAAGCACAATTATGGGGCGCGGCTACAGTGTTTTGGCCAGGTTCAAGCCTCGGACTAATCAAAGGACAGGGTCCTCTCATTGCCACGTGCAAGTCCCAGCTGGAGGGCAGGGCCCTCCCAGCACAATTATAGCCAACCGCTGTGGTTGTAAGCTTGAACCTATGGTCCAAACACGTAGCCCCACGTGCCTTGTGATAGAGTTCGGGTGCATGTAGTTGAGTAGGGTTGGAACTCACGAGAATGCTGTAAACAATGTGATCACACCCCTACCTTGCCTCGTGGCATCTGCTATAAAATAAAGACACGGCTTGTGGGCGCTGGCGCTGTCTCCTCATCAGGGAGCAGCGTCCCACCGAGACCCAGCTTTCATTCTCTTGTCTGTCTTTCCTTAATCCTTTCCCCCCCCCCCCACCCCCGCCCCACTCAGTTTACCTTTGGCCGCAACACACAATGTTCTGGATGCACTAAAAGCATAAAGTCGATAGGCTGACCCAGGAAGCCAGCCGCTGAGCAGACTGGGGGCAGGGTTCCCGGGTTCCCGAGTGCAATGGACCAGGACAGCGACCCCACACGCTCAGAATCGCTGAGCACAAACACAGTGAGGTGGCTGCACTCTTCCACATCTGCTGAAGGAAACTGTGTCTCCACGGGCGGGGCTGTGAGCATAAAATACCCCCATGTCTGAGGTACAAATGCCCGAGGCGGGAGAACAGGCATGAACTAGAGGCAAGAATTAAACAACTGGCTTCATGGCCGCGCAGCAACCCACTCAGAGCTGCGCTTTACACCTGTAGCACCTTTCACAGCTTTCAATGCGACCGTGAGAATGTATTTCTATAATTTCCGTTTCCGACACAGCTGTGTGTTTTGGAATCTGGAAATAACCACTGAAAATAAGAACCTGAAACATCGAACGACCCGCAGTGTCCCAGTGTCGTTCCTTTGAGCTCAAGCTCCTTCCATCACACTGAACAGACCCTGGACTTTGAAAATCACTTCAAATGATTGAGGAGGCGCCTGGGGAGGGGCGCTCCCTCCCATGACTGCACTACCTGGGGGGCTCTGCGGTCCCGGCGCCGTCCACACCCGGCGAGTCCAGGCTGGCGGAACCGCTGCTGACGTGGTCGCTGCTCTCGTAGTCGGACTCAGTCCTCTGCCCCTGCCAGGCGTCGCCAGGGACGCCCGTCTCGGTAAGGCCTTTCCCCGGGCCGTCGGGGGAATGCCTGCTGCCCAGCTCCTGCCTCGCTTCATCCTCGTAGATGGTCATCAAGCACTTCTGCTTCGGCGGCCCCTGGGGCCAGCTGCTGGGGCTCTGGTCCCTGCATCTGGGCGTGTGACTGGCGCTCGGCCTGTGCCGTGGACTATGCTGCCGTTTCTCACTCTCGCTGAGGACACTGTCGACATTCAGGGTCTCTCTCATGGGCTTCCAGCCTCGGCTCCCGCTCCTGCTGTGGCGGCTGCTGCCTTTACCCCGAGAGTCCAGGCTGCTGTCTGTCTCGTACCCAGGGCCGCTGTCACCCTGCACCGCCGGACCAGGAGCCTGGGGCCTCCCCGCACGCGGGACCTGCACAGACGCCCGGCTCTGGGTGGGTGGGTCCTGGCCACACGGCCCCCGCCCCTGACCGGGGGACGCGGGGCGACTGCCGTATTGTCGGAAGCCGTTTGGGGCAGGCGGTGATCCGGGCTTGACGCGTGGAAGGTCTTCATCCAGCACATCTTTAAAACAAATAAGGAGACACACGACCACTCTCAGGGCCGCCTCAGCCACAGCCACTTGGAGAAGATGTCTAAGCAGGAGGAGTAAGCGGCGATTCCACCACCCAGGGCTCAAGTCCTGTGCTAACTGAGACGTTTGTAAATTAAACGGCTACATACTGACTTTAAAATAACTCTAAAGAGATCACAAGATAATTAGTTTTTTAAAAAACAGTATTCCACCTCATTTATGGTTCATGAAAAAAAAAAAAATGTCCTACCTCTTATGCTAGCAGAGTGTCGAAAGTCTGTGAGATCAATCGCTGCGGAGGGGGGAGACAGATGCCCAGTCGCTGTGGTGGGACCGTGGACGGGTCCCCGTTAGCAGGGCAACTGAGCCACAGCAACCAAGTCCAAAACAGACCCCCTCACCCAGCGATTCCTGGCAAGGATCCTGCTGTGGCTGTACACACAGGCACACAAGGTCAATCTCACACCCTTTCTACAGGCCGCGTCTCAGTTACACATGGCTGTGCACAGGGAAAGTGCTGAGGCTCGTGGTGAATGGAACAACGATGGGGACCGAGGGGTGGTTGGGGCACCAGGAAAGCGAGCTCCTGTCACTTTTTCTATAATCCTCCTCACTGAGTGCACCACGAGTGGGCTGCAATCAATTTTAATTAAAAATTAAATAAATTGTCCAGCCAGTGTGGCTCATCACTAGGAGGTCACGGTTCGATTCCCAGTCAAGGCACATGCCTGGGTTGTGGGCTCAATCCCCTGTAGGGAGGGTGTAGGAGGCAACCGATCAATGCTTTTCTCTCATCATTGATGTTTCC